GGACACATCTTGCCAACCTGCCTGACATTGCTGCCACAGGCCTCGGGTTGTTTCAGCTCACATTTTCCTCTCCTCACGTGTGAAGACATCACATCACGATGGCTGGTTCAGTCCTACAGTTAATATGGGTGCGCAGGTCCATAATGGTACATTGTAAGTGAATGTCTCAGGGTAGACAGCAATAATAATTAGCTGTCATGATTTGAAAAAAGGATAATCCATGCCATTGAGTTAACAATCATTCACACAACACACATGGATTTAACTAATCTTAATTTGGAGAAAAATAACAATTCTAAATATATCAAATAGCCTATTTCATGGCAACCTGCAGCGGTGTTTATCTCTGGCTTCCAGCACATGCAAGTTATTTAGTTTCTCTCACTGGCAGTTTTACCATTCAAAAGCCTGAAATGAACATTCATGGAGCAGGGGTTGCAGTTAAATCCTGCCTCTGACAGGGAGCCTTTTTTCATGGTGCACATCTAGTTCAAGTACATAATGTATGGAGGCCAGCACTGGCGGCCGGGATAGGATGAACGAGGAATTCCAACCAACCCTCTCCCCTTCCCTAGCACCATTTTTGCAGAAATTAGCTGCGTTGTCTTCAAGAACCATTGCTGTTGGTGTGACTATCTGTCCATGAGGGTACGCTGCCCTGACCTTGAGGACCAGTCCGTGAAGCTGATGAAGGTCTGGTCCAAGTGGTGCCTGCCCTAAAGAGTCACCAGGGTTCTCTAAAGCCATACAGCATTAAACACAATCTGACTGATACTTCTTCTTTAACCTGGATTGCTTCAGAGAGCCCTGCTAACAAACAGCCTGGTGGCCCACAAGCCCAGCAGCACCATGAGGAGGACAGGAAATACCAAAGGCCAAAGGACAGCAGGAGCCACCTCCCTGAGCCTTCTTCAGCCAGGACAGGTCACCTGGTTAGGCCCAAGATCTAATAAATATGAAATATAAAAAGAGGTATAAAACACAACAGTGGTGTAATTTTTTTCCAAAATACCTGCCAGCGGTGAAGTGAAAGAAGCAGTGACTGATAACTCCCAGCCAACCCATTGGCCCGGCTGTGTTTTGCTGTGCAACAATCTGGTACATCTGTTTGATACTAACACACCCTCTGTACAAGAGGCAGAAATTGTTTTCAAGCAGGTCAGCCAATTCGAAAAAAAAGATAAAAACTTTACAGGACAGACTGCTCCTAAGCAAGTCACGTCCTCCCAGTGCCAGCTAACATGCTACTACACACCTTACCAACAGAAGTTACTAAATGAAATGCCTTGAAAAGCTTGGATTTTCAAGTTACGAGTCAGGAAAAGATGTCAGAAAGTCTTTAAAAGCTTATTGCAGAGATAAAGTTGCCTTTGTCTCTACTGGTACCTGGAAAAGTCAGTTGGAGATTTGCGTTGCATGCATGCAAATACTAGTGGACTCCTGAGCTGTACCTGTCCTCCTCAGAGTGGCTCAAGTTCTGCTTTGTCATTAAGAGGCATTCAGTGATCAGAGCGAATGGAGTTACCAAGAAAGAAAGAAAGGCAAAAAGAAAGAGAGGAAGAAAGACCTCATGACTCCAGAGCATCATGCACCAAGGTGAATGCTCAGCATGGTGCTGCATCCCAATATCCTCACTCACAGAGGGAAGAGAGGTGCAATGGCAGAGCCAAGTTTAGCACTTGACGTACCCTCACTGCACTCAGACATGGGAAGCTGTAAGGTTTGGTGGCTTAGTCACACTGCAGAAGGCTACACAAATCATTCTGAACAAATAAAAAGGTCTACAAAAATAACAGAAGATTAAGGAGAGGAGCTGAAACCTATTTGAGGGCAGCAGTGGTGGCAGCATATTTCAGGGAGCTGGAGTGGCGAGTGGGTGATTTCTGGCTTCCCTCTTCAAATATAAAGACTCAATTATCTTTGAACAGCTTGCTTTACACATGAATTGACACATTTATTTTACAATAAATAACTGAAAGTTATCTATGTTTCCTTTACTGTTAATCTACACAAAGAAATAATAAACAGAGCTTGTCTACAAAAATGCAACTACTGCAGTCCTCAGAATTCAATTAAGCTAAAATAATTAATGCTTCCATCATATTAAATTACTTTATATATTTGAGCCACTGAAGTTTGTTTTTTTTTTTTATTCTTTAATCTTTTTCTCCTTTTTATTTAATAAAAAAAGTTAGTTTTAAAGTGGGGGGGGGCTGGCTAGGAGGGGAGAAAAAGAGCACGATTTGCTGTTAAAATGTAATGGTCTCCTTTAGCTGACACAGCATGTAGAGTGTTTTGTGCCTTTGATTAAAATAACGTTTTAAATGCTTTGAACAAACATATCTCCCCATACTTCTAAGGGATTATTTTACATATTTTTTGGTGGAATAAAGAAATTCATTCTTCCTGTCACAGTACAGAAAGGCTAAGAATATCTTTCGTCACATATAAAGTAAAAATACTGTAGGCTGCTGCATTATTACAAAAAAAATAAAAATAAAGGGAGGGGGTGGTGGGGTGGGAGAAAGCTGCCTTAGAGATTAAGTTTCCCTTTTATGAAATCGTATTTAGTCTCTTTTTTTAACAAATCTAACAACAATGCTCTACAGCTGCTCACTGGGAAATACCTTTAATGTTAAATGCAGATTCTGATTTTCTTGGCTAATGCAGAAAGCCTTTCTATTGAAATATAAATAAGGGGTTTGGTATATCCCACTAAAGCCTTTCCAGTGAATGACTTCTGTGGGTTTTTCATGGCTACCCTCCACGGCTGTAATGTGAGGCTTTCATCCTACTATTGAAAACTATCTACTGCCATTAAAAAAAAATATGGAAGGACACTGCACCTTTTTATCTTGGAGCTGGGCTCCTAATTGAGAAAGCATTATTACAGCACTGTTTAGTGGATGTCCCTATCTCCATGCACTGCTGAGAAAATGCCAATAAAATGATAAACCCTTTTATTTTTCTCCATTCAAAATCTCTCCTACATATTTTCATTCAATACTCAGTTTAGTCTGAAAGAGATTAGGTGCTCCAGATTGGCTTTTAAATATTTTTTTATGCCTTTTCCACATGTGAACATCCCCTTCAACCCTCCCCCAGCAGATTTTCTGCGTGGCAAAAGAGTTAGTGATATTCATGCTGACCCCCGGTAGCTGGGATGGGACAGCACGCTCTGCGCTGGATGTAACACTGACGTATTTCACTACAGACTAAACTTGGGCACAGATTAGAAAAAGATGAAATCTGGGCTGAATGACAACACAGGTCTCCTGGACCACCCTTACTAAGCACTGGGCACCCTCTGGAAGGGGCTGAGCACCATCAGCTTGCACAACAGCTATTGAAAGTGCTCAGCACCATTCAGGGGGCCTTCAGCAGACTGGAGGAGAAGGTCTTGAGTACTTGTCTTCTGTTCCCACCAAATGGGAATGAAATCTAGCCTTCAAAGCTGCTACACCATGAGGTAGTCATCTCTGCCAAGAAATGCATTCACAACTGCAAAAGGATGAGGAAAGCTGAAAAAGGATGGGGAAAGCTGAAAAAGGACAGGGAAAGCTGAAAAAGGATGAGGAAAGAATGGGGTCAAGGATGTAAGCAACAGTAAGGTTGCTTACAACACTGCAGCACAAGCTGGAAGAGCTAGTGCCCCCAAAGCTAAGAGCTACCCCAAGCCAAGATGGTGGCTGCACCCAAAAAATATTCCTAGAAGACAATAAGGTAGTAAATGGGTGGCATGTGGCCTCTCATTAAGAGGCAGATCATGTGGAATTCAGCAGTTCCTTACTTATATGATGGCCAAGCCCATCAGAGATGGTGGGACTGATTCAGAGACCTCCAATGCTAAAAGCAGGAATCTCTAAAGCTTCAATTGTAAAGATAGGAGCCTCTCACAAGTCTTTTGGGGATCCCCTCATGGGAGCAACTCTACTACAGGCAGGACCTGGACTGCCAAATCTAATCCCATAGGACAATTCCTAGAAAATCTGGGACAGCAGTAGCAAAGACAAATTGCCACAGGTCTTCTGTATGGGACACAGTCAATTTGAACAAAAAAGGGCCTTCTGAGGGGAGATCCTCCTGTGTAATATAGAATTCCTACTCAGTATGAGGGAGCAGAGCCTTCCTTTCACTGCTGTAGAGGAACACACCACTGCAAAGGGGAGAAACGCCCTGCTTAACAAAGGAAGCCCCACGCTGGGTGCTCTGCTGAACCACCATGCATCAGCTCACCCAGGCGGGTACCACCACACACCTGCCCACCTCTGACCCAAGGAGGTCCTCTGAGTCTTAACTGCACCACATACAAGAGTTTCAGAAATGCCCGCAATTTGCTCACCAGAGCCAGCCTGTGCTCTTCTCATTCAAAAGCCCCATTTGGGGTGCGCATGTTAATGGGGGTGCTGCCCAGCCAACTCCAGCTGTCTGAAGAGACCCAGGACAGCAGACACAGGCAGCAATGCAGACCAGGAAGCTGATGCCTACCTCAGTGAAAAGAGCAAGCAAGGACTTAATGAACCCCTGCTTTAGCCTTTGCAACTAAATCTTCCCACTGTGGCCAGTAGGAAGAGGATTTTTCCACTGACTTCAGTAGGGCCAGGATTTGATCCTTCCCAGTGGGACTGCATGTGACAAAGAGAATCTGATCTGGACTGAACTGAGCATCTCACCAAAGTCCCCTATCCCTCCACCACTGTTACTTGCTTAAGGACGCTCCTGAAATGGCTCCTGACCCCAACTTTCTGCTTTTTCCTACATGTACAGACTGCCCCTTGGTTCTCCCAGAGGACTGAGAGGACCCTCTCTCTGGGAGCTGGCAGATAGCTATAATTAAATATGGTGGACAGCCCTCCTGAGTCCTGTGCAGCCATGGGGATCCTCCAGGATGATGGCTCTTACAAAAACCTGCTACTGAAGCCTCTGTTTCACAGCACTTTCTAGAGGGCTCTCGTTAAAAGATTGCCTAGTCAGTTGATTGAGTGTAAAACATGCTGTACCTGCAATGTTCTCCTGCTTGGGGCAAATTCCTTTTGTAGGCGTGAGAAGACGGTCTTCTTCATCGGGTGTGACTTGGATCCCGATTTCCACTGGCTCTGATACTTTCCTGAGCTCGGCACGTGAGGAGGGGGGAGGGCTGCTCTTATCCATGCTCTTTTCATAGCAGGCACCACCAGTGCCATTGCACTGTTTTCTCTTGTGCTCTATAAAAACCAAGATGTCTCCCAGCGGGAAGTTCATCTGACACTGTCCACAGGTTAACAAGTCGGGGTCTGTCCCGCCTGCAGCGATGCTGATGCCACCCGGCTCTGCTATTGCCAGGCTCTCATCCTCATCGGCGAGTGCCGGTTCCACATGGTCAGCCTCTGCTTTACATGGACAAGGAGAAAGAGGGAGGAGAGGGGTGAGGGGAGAAGAGAAAGAGATTGCTTTGAATGTTCACAGACTCTGAAGGATGCATCACAAGAGGCCCAGCCTTCCTCCCTTGCCCCAAAAAGCCAAGTTTGATTAGATCTTTCTCTTATTTTTCAGCTTTTCTGCTCTCCCAGAATGATTTCAATGTATTTTGCAACCAATCGTGCCTGAAACAAAATGGAAAAGCTGACCTGGCATAGCTTTCCTGACAACTCCTTCCCACTGCTGCCAGCGCTGCAAGGATATCAGCAAAGAGCCATTTTGCAAACGTTCGAGCCCCAAGTCACTTTCTGAAATAGTTTCTCTCTTTTTATCCCACCTTCTCATTCCCACCATGTCTCCCAGCCATCTGGCCAAGGCCCCATCCAGCAAAGCTTATGCACCCAAACCTTTCCTCTTATTTCAGAGAGGAGGAAAGCTCATGAGCAAGATCAGGCTCTCTGTGGCATGCAAAATTATTATCACTATGTCCCATTACAGAGACACCTGCACAGTTAAATGACCACCAATTAGCAAGAACTACAGCAAACTATTTGCAAGAGTAAGGTAAGCAGGATATAGTTTCATGAGAAGTTAAGGGGTTTCAGAAGTGTCTACAGTGGGAAAGAGAATGAGGCACTTCTTTAACACACTGGAACATGGGCTGAGCCTGAAATCTTCCACTCAATTTTCCTGATGTCCAATAACCCCACAGTTGCTATATAGATTAATAAAAGCTTTTTGTTTAAATCTTACCCATGGACCTGATGGATTTCATAGCATTTACCCCCAAAGACTGGAAAAGCATTTCTGAGTGACCTACATCAGTTTCTAAGAAATAACCAACTTCTCATTTCACAATTAATAAAACACAGTGTGTTTTTAATGGGTATTTAGAAGATAATTGTTACATTATAAAATAATTATGGATCAGAATTCATTTCTGGGGCAAAATGTGGTTTTTGGATTGTTTTTTCTTGTTCTGCTGTGTAACTGCCAAATCATACAAACCTTGGTCTTCGCTCAGGCAAAATTTCCACTGACTTTTGCCTAAGGCTGTTTTGCCTCTGCAACGACTACAGGATTTGGGCTGAACAAAACAGGAACTAACAGTATGTAAATCAGTGAGTGAGACCTCTAATCGAATCAGGATTAAAGGAAAAATGTTCTCCATTAGCCCAAGCGGTTTGCTTATGGATTTCCTCGGGAAAATAAGTCACACAAATATTTCAAAGAAGTAAGACTGAGATAAACAGATGTTATAATCCAGATCTGGATTCTCCTCCTGGCCAAAAAGAGTTTTGTCCTACTCTTGAGAAAATTGAAAAAAAAAAAAAAAACAACCAAAAAAAAAAACCCCAACCACAGGAAAGGGACAAGAGGTAGAAGGTGAAATGTATTACCTGGCAACAAAAATGGTTGAGCCTGGAAAAAGGCATTTTAGAAAAAGAATTGACCCCATTTTTGCCTTGCAGAATAAATAATTGATCAGTATATCTACCAGCTGTATTGCAAGTTGTATCAGCTTATCAACAGCAAAGCAGAGAGCAGCAACAGCACCAGTGACAGCAGAAAAGCACAGGGACCCCAGAGAAGCCCCCAAGCACAGACCATCCTGCTAAGGCAGATGATGGACACAGGAAGGCCCTTAATTTCCCCTTAATTTAAGTTTAAACGGAGTTTGAAGACAATTCTACGTAATTAATTCACCAATTTATGTCATGAAAAGGTGCCTCCTTGCCTTAGTGAAAATGTAACCATAACCCTGCGCTGAACAGGGACTGCAGGGAAGGGAGCGGATGCCTGCGAACAGCGTGTCACGATGCAAAAGGTAATTATTTAGTGCTGCGGTTCCCTTTAATGATCTAACATTGAGCAATATTGTTTATATTGAAGAGAGCTTGCACCTTTAATTACCAATTACATATACATCATTTTAGAGCCAAAAGAAAAGGACTATGAAAAGGGTCCTTTAGAAATGTGCGTGGTATTTGTAGGAAGAATTCCTATTAAGGGGGAGCAGTGTGTCAAAATATTAAAAAAATACCCATAAAGAGAGGCACGCGCAGGCATGCAGATACACACGCAGGAGATGGGACAAAGAACTGGAAAAGACAACACAAAAACAGGAACTAAACCAAGGGTCGTAAGAGGGAGAAAATGCTTGTTACCATTTTTACCTAACATTCCTGTACAGCCTTCAGATTGAAGTGCATCTCTTAAATTGCTAAGGCTGAAATTTTGGCATATATATATGTACCAAACAAAAAGAAAAGCACAGATTTCAACTTTATTATCTTTTTAATGTGAGGTTTATTATATTTTTCTGCCTGCTATTTGAATTGTGCTCTTCCAAAAAGGTAGCAAAAGTGCTGCACTTGTAAGGGTCCTGAGCAGGCGCCTGTGGAAACATGAAGGAGGTTTGACCAACTAAAGTGTTACAAATTCTTTCTTTTCAGTTCTACACTTCATCTGAATATTATTTAAATCCACATATGCCTATTTGCTTCCACTTGCTCACTCTCTTTCCAAGGACTCTGCAATGGCACTTTTTTTAAATAACATCTGGTATTCCTTCATATTTTGTCAGTCGTCACATTACTAAAAATCAGCTTTTTGTTTTCTTGGTATGCTGGGCCCGCGTGATCAGTAGTAATTGGGTTTCAAAATATCAAAAGACTTTTTGCTATTAACTCTATTTCTGATTTGAGCTTAATAAATCATCAAGCATGAGACCAGCCATACACTTAAGAATGCAGAAGCTGTATTATATCCCCTTATTCAGGACACGGAAAACAGGCATAAAAGAATGAAAAACAAAATACTGAATAGATCTTCAAATGCATTTTATCCATGTCAATTTGCATATTTTTTTTTACTAAGAAAAAAAAAAAAACACACAAACTCTTCCTATTGACAACTCAAGCCATTAAAAACCTACATTCAAGTAACATTACAGGAGAGATTTAAAACCCACAAAGGAAAAGAGAAAAAAGCCTGCAAGTCCAGCCCATAACGCATCGGGTCATGCCTGGTTAATACAACAGCCAAGATCCTAGGCTGTTTAAGGAGTCCTTTAATACCAATAGGACAATTTAGGCCAGTCTCAATCTAAAATTCTGACTCCACTTGTGTCTGTGGGTTTCAAATGAGTCGCTTCACATTATTTGAATTTAACTCTGTGGTTTTATTGTTGTTCGTTGGTAGCTGGGTTTGGGGGGAGGAGGGTGTTTCCTCATGAGTATTTATTTAAAATTAATTTGTATTATTTTTAAGAAGGAGAAATCAAGCCACACCAAAAAAAAGGATGGAAAACATCTCATCTTCCTTACGTGGGAAAAGGAAAAAAATGCAAATGAGCTATTTCCAGCCAGGACTCGTGCTCTGGGTCCTCCAGGTGTGCTAAGGTGTGCCCGGCATTTTCCCTGCACCCAGAGATTCCTCCAAACAGGACTGCCTTGGCATTGCCTGCCCAGGCAGAACAACGAGTTAGGGATGTGCAATCTATGGGGACATGAGTGACACTGTTGTTACCTGATGGTTTCATAAAATTAATGCAACCAGATGATCTGAATCATTTGCTTCTACAACTAAAAGCATTACACTTGTTGCCTGGACTCTAAGCAGCATTTCCAGGCTCTCTGGCTGACTACCACACCAGTATACAGTGGACAAATTCCTTAATTCCATAAACGCACTGTCACAAAACCACCAGTGCTCCTACTTCAGCATGGTGACATCATTAGAACATATGTGCCCCATGCAAACAATAATCTCATGCCCAGTATTAAAGCAAATGCACATGCTAAGTACTTTCTGTCTGTCAGATGTTTCAAACTCCTACCCACTAATAGTGAAAAAGACTGTTACTAAAAATCGTTTACAAGTCCTCAGAGGATAGGACCACGGATGCTTGCTGACAGGGTCTGGGTGAGGCTGGATCCAAGCAGCAGCAATTTATTTCCTTGATTTTTTATTGCACTGCAGAACCAAAGTAAGAAGGGATCAAAAAGTTGCCAACCTATTCTCTTAGTTATTTTTCCCATCCCACAGTATCAGAAGGGGGAAGGAAAAGGGGGTAGAGGGAATAGCTTGGTGCTAGGCCAAAGCATTGCGTGTGAAACCTCCTCTCTGCGGCCAGTTTCTGCACAAATCGATAACAGGGTGGTTAAAGCAAGCGCTGCCAGTGCCTTCACCGCAGAGGTGCTGCTGGGTACCCGGTCTGCCCCAGCACCCCAACACAGTCACCGCCTGCCCTCATGCCCACCTGAGGGGCAAAGTGTGGGCTACCCCAGGGGCCACCCATCTCTGAGACAAGCTGGGGCAGCCCGGAGTCCAATACTGGGACATGGCTCACGCTGTCCAGGCATGGGAAGCTGCCTGCAAGTGTGCCACAGTGTGCCAAGCGCACCCATCTCCACACGCAGTCACTGCTGTCTTGAAGGCACATCCAGAAAGAGCTCAGCCTAGCTGGGGAGTGAGCACAAAGAAGTGACTTCCTCTTCAGGGTGTTGTTGGGCCAAAGCAGGCCTGAAAATGATGTCTCTTCAATCAACACCCACATGTCACATTTACTTTAACATCAACATGCTTAACGGAAATAGCTCGCATCACACTCTCTTTAGCTGGGTTATCTCTGTGATCAGTGGCAGGATCCTCACTGCACAAAGACTAACACTGCTCAAAGTGGGCAACGCAGCTCCTCGCCGTCAAAGTTTATCAATAACCTGTTTCCAGAGCCTCCCGCAGCTCCCTGCAGCTGCAAGGTGCAGAGTTGAGCTTATGCCTACATATTGCCTCAGCACCACCCTCAGCAGTTCTAGGCACTGCTTATCTGCCATCAATTTTTTTCTGAGGGTTGAAAAACAATTGTTTGTGGTATTATTTTTTTTTTCTAAATAAAAGTCTGAGGCTGAGTTGGCCAAAAGAACATGATGGGGAAGCCCCAGAAACAGGGGTTATGAGCAGCAGCTCT